TTTTTTCTTTTTTTGAGCATTGGGAAGATAATTCGAACCCCGATCTATTATCAGGTCGTAATGCATTTACTATCAGACTATGCCTTGGTGTGCTATTATGAAGATTTCTTTGACTTTTTGTGATCAATATTTTTCGGGATATTTGTGATTAAATGTTAATTTTAAATTTTGTTTACATTTTCCTTTGATTTTGATGTGGAATTTGGGTCGGCAATATTATAAAAAAAAAAAGACAAATAAAGAATAGAAATTTTTTTATTCATCAATTTGGTTTTTGTTGCACCAAAAAAAATTTTAAATCTACCTGAAATTATAAACTGAATAGAGTTGATTTGATTTTTTTTTTTACTTTGATTTTATATAATATTTGGAGAAAAACACTTCCCCAATTTTCATTTAAAAAATTTCAATTTTTTTGATCATTCAATATTTCGATTTGATGAAATCGAAAGCTCAACATTAGTTCAATTCATGATTTTTCTTACTAATTGTAAGTGAAATGTGAAATTATCGGCGATAAATTATATAATATATTTTTAAAAAATGGGGTTACACTTTTCACGCAATGACATCTATTTAATAAAAATATTATACATAATTTAATTGTTATTTCTCTTTGATGTGCTAAATTTAGTGGGTAATTAAGATGTATAAATGTTATGCGGTTACAGATTTGAGTTAAAAACCCTTACCTTTTGTCAATTTTTAATTGGCGGAATACATAGTTTTACCATTCAACTGTAGAAAAAAAAAAAAAAAATCTTGTATCAACACCCAAAATTTTAAAATTGACTTTGTAGCACTATAAACTTCATGTTCTATAATTGTTTCACACCTTGTCATACTAGCAATAAAATTTTAAGGTTTTTGGATATTATATGCGAAATATTAATTTGGTATGTGATTAATATAATTGTTGACACAATAATTTTCACATTTTTTTTGACTATTTTATAGCTTTTAATTGATCTAATTTTACAAGTTAAAGGTGTTTAATAGGTCAATTAAAATAGAAATAATTATAAATTTGGTGCCTGAACTATTCAAAATTTTCTATTTTAGTGCCTGATCAGAAAAGTTTTGCAATCAAGTGTTAAACCACTTAAAATTTTTCAATTAAGTGTCTATTGTCTACATGGACAATCAGAATTACCACTAGGATGGCTGGGACCTACAGAATAATAGTAAATATGCTGAATAGGCTGATTATAAGTAAGCCATGTAGGCTCAAATGCACAGCATATGATCTGGGTGTCTAAAATTACTAACTTGCCCTTTTTATCTCTATCTCCTTCAAGCAACAAACTAAAAGAGTCAGAAAGTCTCAAACCCAGCTACTGTAGAATCTTATTTGCCACCATCATCTTCCTTATACTCCTTCGAAACCATCCAAAAAAATTCACTCTAGAAAACCTCTTACTTGCTAAACAATCTTAGCCACGATATCAAAAGATACATTTGAGATCTTCTCCCTTCGTCTCAGAACTGTTATACATTTAAGGCTTTTGCCGAAAAATTTAAAAAATCGATTTCGACAGATTATTTGAAAAATCTATTAATGGCAATCTCTACGGTTGATGGCGATCTCTAAAGTTGACAACAATATCTACAATATCATTTGAAAAATCGATTCCGACATATCTGATTTTAGATATGAGATGCGCGTTTGTTGTTGCTTCATTTAGATTTTTCAAATCGATGGAGTTCCATTATTTGAGATAATCACAATCGCTTCCAGATACAGTTTGTTATATATGCAAAAAGGCACATGAGTCCTATCTTGCAATGGATGAGGAGGAGACTATTAGAAAGTTGTAAGAGCAAAAATTTTGTTTCCGAAATCATGTTTTTTGCTTATCAAAAATGACTTAATGCCAGGAAAATTGTCCTTCTTGATGAGTTCAATGTTCACCAATTTTTTAATATTCTACCCTCTCAATTTAGTTTGACAAAAACTGCTTATAATGCTGTGAAAGAAGCAAGTGTTTTCGTTGTTTTACAACCTAAACCTTCTACCCAAAATATCCATAGGAGGAAAAGGAGGGTTCGTAACTATAATAAAGGTCCCAAAGAAAAATATGATTAGTCTCACAATCTTGATCCTAAAGCTAATGTAAAGAAAGAAGAGAAGTGCTGATTTTGCAAGAATAAGGAAATGAATGCACAAAATATAAGATCCACTTAAAAAATATAGAAGGTAACACTTTTGCTTGCGTTTATTTTAAATCCCATTTTGGCAATGTTCCTTTTAATTCCTAGTGGATTCACTTTTGCTTGCGTTTATTTTAAATCCCATTTTGGCAATGTTCCTTTTAATTCCTAGTGGATTTTGAGTTCATTATTACCGACACTAAAAGAAAATCAGTCTGTTACAGTTCTTCCCCCCTTAAAAGAAATTCATCCTTGAAATGGTCCACACAGATCTGAATGTACCAGATCTAACACATTCTTCATTCTGGAAGGCTGAGAAATCTTGAAGGCTACTCTATTCTGCTTTCCTGCCATACCTGCCATACAATCAGAACATTTCTCTAAATGGACTTTATCCAATCCAGATAGCACGTTGTTTTTTACCAGAGTTGTCATTCCTTTTTCACTCATGTGGCCTAACCGTTTATGCCACAATTCAACTGTACTGTCATCCTCTGCTGCATTAAAAGCATCTCGGGAGAGCTTCGCATGCATCACATACAACTTTGGGTCTTTCCTTCCATTAGCTACCACTATGGAACCTTTTGTGAGTTTCCACTGACCATTTCTAAAGGTGCTACAGAAATTTTCAGAATCAAGTCTGCCAACCGAGATTAAATTAGAATGCATGTCTGGTACATGCACGACATCTCATGTCTGGTACATGCACGACATCTTTTAGAATTAATCTCGAACCATTTTCTGTCTCCAAGAAAATATCTCCCTTACCGACGACTTTCAACAGTTTGCCGTCTGCTATCTTGACCACACCCAGATTGTCTAGTGTGTAAGATGAAAAATTTTCTCTCCGAGATGTTGCATGAAGTGTAGCCCCACTAACAATTACCCAACTGGTTTCCTGGGTTGCAAGATTGATAGAATAGTTGGAACTCAGCAATGACATTGGCTTCATCATCACTGCTTTCTTCTTTCTTTGCTTTGCCCTTGATCTTCTCCTGATCACTTTTGAACTTTCGGCAATACCTTTAATGTGCCCCTTCTTCCACAATGATGGCACAACTCTCTCGGTAATAAGATAGATGTGGGTGATATATATCCTCTGTAGTTATTATATAATGAATACGAATACGGTGTCCATATAGAGATCGCTCTATGGTCTCCTCTATAAGCGCCTTTGTCCATTTCAAAACATAGATATGTCCAACATCGAATCCTGTATCTGGAAGCGACTGTAGTCAAGTTCCTGTGCTTTACGTCTCATTTCTTAATTACAGAACAACATTTTTAACAAACTTCCCAGCTTTAACTCAATTCCCAGCTAACTCCACTATGTGGTGTAGAGTTTGTTATTGATATCTTCAGAGTCTCCCAAGACTCTGGTAAGGAGGCAAGCACCATAAGGCCGAGAATTTTATCATCAAATTTTATGCCCATATTTGACAGCTGGTGAATAGTCGCCTGCATTTCACTCAAGTGATGTGCTACAGAAGTACCTTCTTGGTATTTGAAATTCATCAGCTTTGTCAAATAAATAATTGGTTGTTGCCGGATTTTGAGACATATAGATGTTCAAGCTTGTCCCATAATGTTCTGGCGTGAGTCTCGTTACAGATGTGGTTGTACACATTATCATCGACAAATTGTCGAATATAACCACAAACTTGTTTATGCTCGAAAGCCCATTCTTCATCAGTCTTGTCTTCCGGTTTGCTTGCACCAAACACGGGTAGATGCATTTTGGTTACCATAAGAAGATCTCTCATTTTATTTCTCCATATATGGTAATTTGCGTTATTTAAACTGATCATTTTGCTCGTTCTAGCTTCCATGACTTTTGAGTGAATAGTAACCAATAGTAACCGTAATAATATGAATAGTACTAGTATTACCAAATAGTAACTGGTGCACGTAAATAGTACTGTATGCGTGAATAGTACTATACGTTGAATAGTACTATACGAGTGGTTTGATAGTATTGGCTCTTAACAGTGACGGGCTCAGCAACCAGTACGCACAAATAGTAACTATCCACCATCAACCACGAGTTAAACTATTTTTACTACTCTCTCACTTAAGTTCGGATTATTTTTCTTCACCAGCGTGATGCACCAACGGGAGCTCGTCCGTTAATTTTTTCGTTTCGTGGTATATTTATTTTTTCAAAATATTATCCACAGATCTGCGTACAGCTCATCAATTCTGTTGGACCGAAACGAAACCTTCAGCTCTGATTACACTTATTTAGTTATATCGGAATAAAGTTACGAGAATTAATTACGCAGCGAAAAATAAAAATTGGGACCACAAAAATTTTACATGGTTCACCCTCAACTGTTTTAGGGCTAGTTTTCCACGGGACAACTCCACATATTTCTGTTCCACTATGGAAAAATAGTAGGCTTAGAGGTAATACAAAATAGTGGCACTCACAAGATATTTCCAAAAAAAACATTACCCTAATAGATCTTTATATTTTTAAAGAACCCTCTTTAAATTTGAAAACTCTACCATCTCCAGTTGGGTATACTATATAAAATGAGGAATTTCCTCTCCTATAAATTACGGAGAGGAAGACGCGTATAAAACCGCCAATTTTCTACTAATTTTTTTTTTTAAGCATTGTGAATCTTCGAAGTAGGCACCGGACACACCACCAAAGCAATTGTGGGTAAGCCTTTGAGTCCACTTGGTAGGTACGGACAACTACCAACAAAGAATTTGTGGGTCCCACTTGAGTGAGGCACACCACAGCAGTCCACATGTTTATCTAACATCTATTCCTTCCAATTTGAACTTAACCCTTTATTTCAATTCTCTCTTTCTCTCCATCACATATTCCTCCAATTCTGAACTTAACCCTTATTTCAATTCTCTCTTTCCTCCTCCATCACCACCATGTCCGGCGGAAAACGACGGAGGATCAACGCCAATTTTGAAGATCTTCCAAATGAAATTGTATATGATATTCTTTCTAGATTACCCATCTCTTCGTTAGTACAATTCAAATGCGTATGCAAATCTTGGCGCACCTTAACCCAAGATCCTAATCTTGTTTCTCATTATCTTTCTAGTACAATCAAGAAAGATCCTTGTTTAGTTCTTCACGGCCATTTTCCTATCCGAAACCAGCTTTACTTTATAGATTTTGCTGCGGACCAGGAGAAGGACAAAGTTAAGAGATTAAACGCGCCGTTTTCTCCTGTAATGCCGGAATTCGACGTGGTAGGCTCATGTAATAGTTTGCTTTGTTTAGCTGACTCGTTGTATCATGATTCTGTGTATATTTATAATCCTTTTTCAAGAAATTACTTAGAGTTACCGAAATCTTTAAACTATTTAGACCAAGAAGTGGTTTTCGGGTTCGGATTCGATCCCAAAAGCTATCAGTACAAAATAGTAAAGATTATTTACTACAGAAATGGCCATGGCGGCGGCGGTCATCCTCGTGCTCGAAGACTTGTTTACACACAATCAGAAGTTCAAATTTTAACTCTCGGCGACCGTGAGTGGCGGAGTTTAGGTAAAATAGCTTATCAGCTTGTTCGGCCAGCGGAGGCTTTAGTTGGTGGAAGACTTCATTGGGTAAGCAGAATTATAAGGTACAATCCAGTTCGGAGGATAATCTCATTTGATTTAGCGGATGAGAAATTCGAGGAGGTTCAAAAGCCGGAGTGGGGTCGCCTGGGTGAGCGGAGTTATAATCTTGTGGTGTTAAAAGGGTGCCTCTCAGCTGGGGTTTATTGTTATGATGAAAGAATAGAGATATGGGTAATGAAAGAGTATAATGTGAAAGAATCTTGGGTTGAAGAATATAGCATTGGAAGTTACATGCCAAAAGGGTTGAAGCAAAATCTTGGAAGGCCATTTTTAAAGATTTGGAAAAACTTATGGAAGGGAAGAGTTGTTAGTGTTTTAGGAGTTTTAAAGAATGGAGAGGTTTTGTTGGAGTATAAAAGTCGAATTCTTGTTTCTTATGACCCAAATCTTGGAAAATTTAAGGATCTTTCATTACAAGGAATACCGCAATTGTTTCAAACAATTGTTCATGTTGGAAGCTTCAATTGGATTGATAGTCCTATCGATCGATCGATTGATACATAGAAGAAGGAGAAGAAAAAGAAGATGTTCATGTTAGTGAGTTGATTCTTATACTTCAAATCATCAAAAAAAAAAAAAAAAAAAAATTTATACTTCACATCAAATCAACAAAAAAAAAAAAAAAAAAAAATTATTATAATTAATTGTGTTTTTCATGTCTTTTCAATTTATGTAGTTTTGTTATTACAATTAAGTGTTGCTTTACATGTTAAAAAAAAAAAAAAAAAAAAATTTATATTATTGTGTTTCATGTCTTCATTTATGTAGTTTTATTACATTAAGTTGCTTACATGTTTAATCAATTTACTTCTTTTTTTTTATATATTGAAAAAAAAAATGATCTATTGATTATTAGAAATAGATTTTAATTCTCTATTTATTTGATTATCTTGTTCAAAGTTATTAAAGTTTAAATTTACTTATGTTAACTAGATTGATGATTTTTCTATAAATGCATATTTGTGAATTGATGATGTTTCTCGAATTTGAATTAAAAATTATATTTGGAAAAGCGAGAGGTAACGGAGAAATAATTGAAATAAATTTAATTACTACATAAAATATAATGTAATTTTGATGTCTAAAACTAGTAGACACATTTGAAAAATAAACATTATGTTTATACATTTTGAAAATTCTTTATCTCTCTATCTATCTCTTTTGAATTTTTCAAAATTCCATAAATATGTAAAACAGTATTGCTCAAAAATTTACTTCATCAAATAGTAATTAAAAAGTTGTTATTGAAAACAAATCATAGAGAAGATGGAAAGGAAAAAGTCAGAAGTTAGCAACGAAAAATTACCCTATTTTTTAGAAAAGAAATGTTGAGCATCATGACTAAATTATGTTGAAATAGAAATATCTTTGTTTTATGAGGGTTTGATCTTACCCAAATATCTTAATTATTAGAAAAATAATATTGGGGTTGGCAAGTGAAAATGGTATTTGATTCATTGACCATTACATAGAGAACCTCACATCACCCACCAAAAATAAAAAAATAAAAAGGGCCATAAGCATTGCTAATTTTTCTACACAAACCAACCCACCAGCACAATAACAATTGTATACTAACAATGAGAAAATAAACTAAATTAAGAAACACCTTTAGCTATGCCTTTTTAACCAAATAAAACATTTGCACAAGAAAGCTATCTTAAAGCCACGCATCAAGAACAAGAAAAAGCTCCAAATGGCTTAGCAACACAATATACAAAGGTTCCCTTTGAATATTGGAATTCCTTTTCTTCGAAAATTATTTGCAGCCCCTAAAAGAACCTTGCTTTGACAAACCTTTTCCCTATTTTAATTTCTATTATGCCTAACCATCCTCTCATGCCTTGTGCTTTAATGTTTTTTGCACCTTTATCTTCTTTTTCTTCCTCCAATCATGAAGCAAATTTTTTTTCTTTTCTTGTTTCAACTTTCCACATTTTGGGTTATACACAATTTAAGAATCGAAACAAAACTCACCTACTTGCACATTAAGATATTTTTCAGATCGATTTTAATACATTTTTATTATTTCATATCGATTTTAAGACTAATTGATTAGTTTTTACAAACTGAGCCGAATCATCAAGAATTTCAATCTAAACTGAGTAAGTTAAAAATATAGAATCTTTTTTGAGCTGTTGATTGAATCGAATGAAATGAGTCGATTCGATTTTTGGTTCAGCTCAATCGGATATTTTACACAGCTCGCTAGTGTGTTTCTTGTTATGCTTTGTTCTCTCATCCACTGTCATTGCCTTCCAGCTATATTATATGTATTAGAAAACAACATATATATCATCTAATGCATGACCAATTTCACATTAAATGATTCTAAATTACACAACTATTCTCATAAATTTTCACACCCCCAATATATTTTAATGGAAAGATTATCATTATGAATAGTATTCGTGAATAATATTTTAATAACACCAATATAAAAATCTCTCTCCAATAAAAAAAAAAAAAAAAAAAAAAAAATAACATCCAATACTAAAATCTCTCTCCAATATGAAAAAAAAAACAAAAAAAACAACTTACAAGTACCTAAATGACGATTTTGGAACTCACGTTCCCATTAATTTGCATCTTGAAGCATAAGTTTTGAAGGCGTTGTAGCTTTCCAACAACAACATGGGTCCCTTAATATAAATTTCGAAACAAAAAAAAAAAAAAAAAAAAAACTTAAAGTACTAATGAGATTTTGGAACTCACGTTCCCATTATTTGCATCTTGAACATAGTTTTGAAGCGTTGTACTTTCACAACAAACATGTCTTAATATAAATTTCGAACAAAAACAAAATTTATTATAGAGGTTAATGTTTCTAAAATCGGATTGAAGATGAAAATGGATTAATGACTGTTCTTTTTTTTTTTTTTAGAAAAATTTATATCAGTGTGAATAATTCAACTAGTTGATTAAAAATGAGTAACTATAACTTTAGAAAATAAAAGTATTATTGTTTTCAATATAACAATTAAGAATTACAAAATGTATATAAGAAATTTAATTTGACCATCTCCCAAAATATTGTGTGTTCCATATATATAGCATTAAAAAAAATTAAATAAAAATAGTTCTGCTTAATTAATTGATATAAAATTTCCTCAAAATCATATGATACAGATATATTAGTAAAAACAAAACCCGATCTCTGTTGACTTGTTATTCATTTATCCTTTTTTTTATTTTTTATTTTTTATTTTTTTGTGTAATGCTTTAAAGACCTCTATGGTTAACAGTAGCATTGAACTCAATCTTAGGTATGCTTGATTTCAAGGATTATTCCATCATATTTAGGCACATTGCCTTTTGTTAGCAAGCTTCGCACCACATTAAGGATTATTCTATTTTTCTATTCGGATACACCATTCCGCTAAGGTGTATAGGCAGCTGTGAGCTCCCATTGAAAGCCTTGGTATGCACAAAAGCTTTCAAATTTTTTTGAGCAATACTCTCCACCTCGATCAGTTTGGAGAGTTTTAATGGTCTTTTCTATTTCATTTTCCACATGAGCTTTGAAATTTTTGATTGCATTAAAAGTTTCTGATTTCTTCTGCAAAAAATAAACCCAAAATTTTTTAGTATAATCATCAGTGGAGGTCATTAAGTATCTTTTATCTTTATTCGAAGTTGGATTACTTGGTTCGAGATGTCGGAATGAACCAAGTCTAGCACGTGCTTTGCTCTCCATGACTGACCTTTTGGAAATTGTAAATGAGGTTGTTTGCTAACAACACACTCTTTACAAACCTGAGAGGGAAAGACAATATGAGGAAGATCGATCATCATATTTTTTTATTGGAGAGTTTTTAATCCACCAAAATTTATATGGCCATAATTGCGAAAATACCAAAGCCATGAAGGATTCGTTAATTCTGTTAACAAGCACGATTGGGTAGATTGGACAGCTTGAATTTTTAATGGGAACCACTTGTTTGCACTTATTTGCATAATGGCCCTTTTCACAAGCATTCTTTTGAAGAGTTATCACATAATCCTTTTCTTGCAACTAACTAGCACTTAACAAATTATTTTTCAAGTCAGGAACATAAAATACATTAGAGATAGTTTCTACAAAACCATTCTTGGATTTAATTTTAACTTTATCTTTTCTCATTACATTTACTTTACAATTGTCACCAAATCTCATAGTAGTATGAAAACTTCCATTTAAATGAGAGAAAAAGAACTTACTACCACACATGTGATTGCTGCACCCAATATCCATATACTAAACATCAGAGTCAGCTTCTTCATTAGAGTGGACATCCATCAATAGTGTTTCTACCTCTTGACTTTCTGTAAAGTTTGATTTCATCGCCTTCTCTTTGTCATTAGGCAGTTTAGTATGACATTCAAAGCGACAATGACAAGATTTATGACATATGTAGCATTCAATATGAGATTTATCATGTGGCTCATCTTGTCCTTTTTTGCTTTGCAATTGGTCACCTTTGGAATTGTGGTTTTACCAATTCCCATCTCTATAACTTCTCCCTCTGCCTCTACCTCTACTTCTTCTTCTAGAATTTGAGGATGGAGGAAGAGTTGACGCCTTTGTTCCTTGCTCATATGTTGTTGAGCTTCGTGCACCTTTTGTTCATGGACCAATAAAGAATTTTGGAGTTCATCAAGTGAGAGCCTGTCTATGTCTTTGGATTCTTCGATTGAGCAAATAACATAATCATACTTTGGTTTTAGTAAGCATAATATTTTCTTTACAACATTGACATCTTCCATCCTTTTGCCATGGAAACGCATTATGTTTGCTATCCCCATGGTTTTGCCAAAGTAGCTGGCAATAGACTCTCCATCTTTCATTTGTAGAACTTCAAAATCTCTTCTTAAGGCATGAAATTGTGCTCGTATCACTCTTGAGGAACCTTTGTAATTGTCTTTCATTGAGTCCTAAATTTGTTTGGAAGTTTCTTTTTCAGAATTATTTCTAGGATGCTGTGATCAATTGACTGAAAGAGAAAATTATTTGCTTTCAAATCTTTTAGCTTCAGCCCTTCCAATTCAACTCTTTTTACTACTGTCAACACCTCACCACCTGCTGGTTCTTCTATTCTAATACTAACAATCTGCCAACATTCTTTAGATTTGAGGAAGTTTTCCATTAGCATGCTCCAATGATCATAGTGACCATAGAAATGAGGAATAGCTGGCTGAACAAAAATTTTTGGATGCCATTAGTGAAAATGCTGCTAAATTTCACTCTAAATTATTTCCCCTCTTTCTCACAAGTGTTTGTCTCTCTCTCTTTTCAAAATACTCATAATTATATCGCATAAGCTCTAATACCACTGTTACAAACTAGGCACAGAGTAAAATAGAAGTGAAATTAATGCTCCATTAGATGTTATTCAACAAGAAGCAATCTTAAATAGGCATACAAAACAACTGAAATTGCAAAATAATAGCAACAAATGGCCTAACGAATAGGAAATCCCAATAACTAAACTTGACTAATTCTTCAACATTTAATAGGTCAAAGTAAAAGTTGAAGATGGTAAAAGGTGTTTTTTTGTAAAAAGTATAGGGTGAGTCATGTATAC